AGCCACAGGTGAGAACAATCGGGGAGAAACAGGAGGTAATGAGGTGGGCGTGGCACACATTAGGAGTGGACGGAGCGGGTCGTGACACCACCCTTTTTTAAATGCGTATTTTAATGCGAAAGCTCCAGAGGAAAGTGCCGTGTTACGGCACATAGAGGGGAAAGTACCTTGTCTAGAGGGCGAAAATGCAGCGTCGAGATGTATTTGCTCGTGTTTTTTGGCCCAACGGCCTTCCATACTCACGACCTGCTCTGTGACACGGTAAGTATAATCAAGATACCTCTTGAGAGAGACAGGAAAAGCATTTAGTTTTATTTTGTTTATTGACTTTTATAAGACATTTGATACAGTTGAGCATAGTTTTATCTTTAAAGTCATCAAGTCTTTTGGTTTTGGGGAATAATTCTTAAATGCAGTAAAAACTCTATAAAGGTTGTAACAGCTCAATGAAATGAGCTCTCGAGACTTCACAAAGGTTTAATATAGGTCATGGAATTAGACAAGAAGGGGGTCAGGGGACAGCCCTATTTTTGTTAGTAACTCAAGTTATGAACATACAAACTAAATCAAAATTTTTCTGGAATTTTAGCTATTCATACAGAAGTTAAACTCTGTCAATTAGCTGATGACACAGCAGTATTTCTGAAGGATATAAATGAGGTTTCTAAGGCTGTTAAATGTGTGCAAGAGTTTTCTTGAGTATCAGGTTTGAGGATGAATGCTACTAAATCAGCACTGTTCCCACATAAAGATTGTAAATCTCATGAAATATGTGGGGTTCCCGCTAAAGATAATCTGGTCTACTTGGGAATAATTATCTCTAAAGATGTCAGGTGTGAATTGAACTTTAGCCCTATTATTAAAAAAACTAAAAGAACTAGGTTATTGAGAGATCTATCATTATACACACATATTGCTATCCAAAGTGCAATACATTTTCTTAAGAATGCTTGTATAAATTATAAATGCCCAGACATTGCCTGTAGAAATATATTTATTGGGGATATTAACTTATGGGACGATTAATGTATCAACCAGCATATTAGGAATTCCTTTTGCCAACCAACAGTTTCCTCTGCAAAATTCTTTTGGACTTCCCTGTTTGATGATATAAATTGGAAGAAAGCATGGGAATTGTTAAATCAATATTGCATCCAAAATAAGGTTAAAGAAATTTCATTTTAAATATTACATCAAATATTCCATGTCAAGGAAGTCTTAGAAAGGTTCTAACTAGAGATTACAATTGTGGTTTTTGTGGGATGGAAACATTTCTTTTTAAAATGTATGTATACAAGAATGTTTGTATAGATCAGGGGTCTCCAACTCCAGTCCTGGAGAGCTACTATCCAGTAGGTTTTCTATCCTACCTGGCTTCTGATGAGCCACACCTGCTCCTGGTATTTACCTGAGAACAGGTGTGGCTCATCAGAAGCCGGGTAGGATAGAAAACCTACTGGACGGTAGCTCTCCAGGACCGGAGTTGGAGACCCCTGGTATAGATTGATCTAGCTTTATTAGCAGGAAGATTGGAAGGAAAGTGAAAATTGAAATGTTTGACGATTTTATTTATTTTAAAAATGAGGTGTTAAGAGCAGACATTTATGTGATTCAGTTATTTATTGCATAAGGAAAATTCTGCATTCATAAGAAAAAAGTTTTAAGATCTAAACTCAAATTTTTTTAATGAAATTAAGCAGTACTTAACTTGTAAAAACAAGTGTAAATAGCACTTTGTGCTTTGGACCCTTAACAAGAAAGCTGTCAAAACTTGTGCAAGAATTTGATTTTCTTGGGTATTTTTTCTTTCGGTGCATTAACAGCAGAGTTTACCCTGGTGAACGAGAGGGCTGTCTCCCTGCGCCTTCGAGTCGGGGATAGGTCTTTGACTGTCATTTGCGCTTATGCGCCGAATGTCAGTTCAGAGTACCCGGCCTTCTTGGATTCCCTTAGTGGTATGCTGGTTGGCGTGCCACGAGGGGATTCCATCGTTTTGCTGGGGGACTTCAACGCTCACGTGGGCAATGACAGTGTGACCTGGAAGGGGGTGATTGAGAGGAACAGCCTCCCTGATCTGAACCCGAGTGGTGTTCTGTTATTGGACTTATGTGCAATGCATGGTTTGTCCATTACGAGCACCATGTTCGAGCATAAGGGTGTCCATAAGTGGACATGGTACGAGCATGCCCGGGGCTACAGGTCGATGATCGATTTCATAATCGTATCATCTGATCTGCGGCTTTCTGTCTTGGACACACGGGTAAAGAGAGGGGCAGAGCTGTCAACTGATCACCACCTGGTGATGAGTTGACTCAGGTGGCAGGGGAGGAAGCCGGCCAGACCTGGTAGGCCCAAGCGCATAGTGAGGGTCTGCTGGGAACGTCTGGCAGAGGCTCCTGTTCGCCGGAGCTTTAACTCGCGCCTCCGGCAAAATTCCAACTACATACCGGGGGAGGTTGGGGACATTGAGTCTGAATGGACACTGTTCCGGACCTCCATTGTGGAAGCGGCCGTACGGAGCTGTGGCTGCAGGGTGGTCGGTGTCAGTCGTGGCAGTTACCCCCGTACCCGATGGTGGACACCAGAGGTGAGGGGGGCCGTCCAGCTGAAGAAGGAGGCTTACCGGGAATTATTAGCCCGGTGGTCTCCGGAGGCAGCTGACGGGTACCAGCAGGCCAGTCGGATCGCGGCTCGGGCGGTCGTAGAAGCAAAAACCCGGGCATGGGAGGAGTTTGGTGAGGCCATGGAGAGTGACTTTCGGTCTGCCTCAAAAAGGTTGTGGAAAACCATCAGGAGGGGGAAGCAGCTCCTGGTTCCTACTATTTATAGTGGGGAGGGGGTGCGTTGACCTACGCACACTGCCTTTGAGACATCTGAGGGCACAGAGCCCGAGGGTGCTGGGGGGGGGGGGTTGAGGTGGCCAGGGTAAAGAGCTACGTGGTGGCCAGGCCCCGGGGGTGGACGAGATCCGCCCGGAGTACCTAAAGGCTCTGGATGTTGTGGGGCTGTCATGGCTGACACGCCTTCTCAACAGTGCATGAAGGTCAGGGACAGTGGCTTCATCTGCTGGGGATCTCCAGCGTGCTCTGGGGTGGTTCGCAGCCGAGTGCGAAGCGGCGGGGATGAGGATTAGCACCTCCAAGTCCGGGCCCATGGTTCTCAGCCGGAAATGGGTGGTTTGCCCTCTTCGGGTCAGGGAAGACGTACTGCCTCATGTGGAGGAGTTTAAGTATCTCGGGGTCTTGTTCATGAGTGAGGGCAGGCGAGATCAGGAGATGGATAGACGAATCGGAGCGGCGTCTACAGTTTTGCAGGCGCTTAACCGGTTTGTCGTGGCTAAGAAAGAACTGAGCCAAAAAGCAAAGCTCTTGATCTATTGGTCCATCTTCATCCCTACCATCACCTATGGTCATGAGCTATAGGTAATGACCGAAAGAATGAGATCGCGAATACAGGCGGCCGAAATGAGGTTTCTCCGCAGGGTGTCTGGGCTCTCCCTTAGGGATAGGGTGAGAAGTTCGGATATCTGGGAGGGCCTCAGAGTAGAACCGCTGCTTCTCCACATCGAAAGCAGTCAGTTGAGGTGGTTTGGACATCTGGTGCGGATGCCTCCTGGGCGGCTACCCGGAGAGGTTTTCCGTGCATGTCCTACAGGGAGGAGGCCCCGGGGCAAACCCAGAACTTGCTGGAGGGATTATATCTCTCGGCTGGCCTGGGAACGCCTCGGTCTCCTCCCCGAGGAGCTGGTAGAGGTAGCTGGGGAGAGGGACGTCTGGGTGTCTCTCCTGAAGCTGCTACCCCCGCGACCCAAACCCCGGAAATGCGGAAGATAATGGATGGATTTTAAAAAAAAAGAGATGATGGGGATAATTGCGAAAACGTGTTAATTTCATGATTTTCCCAAGAATTAAGGACTGTACGAAACCCTGGGTGTAATAATGAACCAGTTTGCTGGTCCACACACAATATGTACTGGTATATGCTGTTTTTTTCTAGCAGGGACGTTTTTTTTTTTTTTTTAATATAGTTTTGATGTCTTTATAATCATCCTAAAATGTAGAGAACAGTACAAATAAACCTTACCCTGGGTAACTGTTTCCAAACTTTTGGCTGGCACTGTATAATATTAAAGAAATGTTATATTGTTATATCGTTTTTGGTATGGTTTTAAATTAGAAAAACAAAACAAGAAGCCATTTTTTCCTTGCCTGTTTTTCCTTTTTCCTGTTCCGATTTTAAAACGGAATAACCAAATTTGGTTTTGAAACAGTAATTTCAAATAAGGAGCAATACACGGATTCAACTGGTTGCAACTGAAGTATTTTGGCATTTTAAAATGGTATAGACTACTTACTAAATCTACAGACACTTTACTAAATAATCTGATTTTTACGTGTGGCAGCCTACCAGTGCTCCAGTCGAGGAGGGGAGCTTCACCTACACATAAAAGACAACAACAGAGTGGACATCGCTGGTCGTGCGGTCACAGTCCTGAAGGGAGTACTCACACTCTGACAGCATCCGGGACCTGTCTAAAGTGTCTAAACATTTGAGTGGAAGCCAACATTCCCGTCATACAAACTCAAAACTGATCTTGAGATTTAGGCTAAAAGGAAACTAGCTAGAAGATATGCTAATAATTTAATACTAATTAAAATAATTTATAGTAAAGATACTCAGACATTACTTGGAGAGAATTTATTTTTTAAAAATCATAGCAAAAAACGGATTGAAAGCAGATAGTCTGAATGTATATTTCTTTGTTTCACATTTTCAAATAAAAGCCAGTGCAAATCCAGTCAGTATTAAATATACAAACGTGTCTGTGTCTGATGTAAATTTGGGTAAACTATAGGAACTAAAAATGTGAGGCAAAATGAAGTTACCCCTATAACACCTTGGATTTCCGAAAGGTCACGACTACTTTATACCAAAACCTGTAAGGCTGTAAGCAGTCTGTAACCTGTAACCTCATCAACATCTGTACAGCAGCAGTCTTCACAGTCAGACAGGGCTCCAGAAGTAAACCCTAACTGGAATCAAACCAGCATGGTAAATATCAATGTATCTTAAAATGGGAAAAAAGCTCAGATGAGTTTTGAGAGAACTTGTCACCATCTGCTGAAATTAATTCAAGTAATATTTTGAATTAGTGATAAAACTGGCAAAAAGAAATACAACATACAAGAGAAATAACTTTTACCTGACTTACGATAAACAGCAAACAGTAAAATAAGTATCTTTTGGGGGGTTTTTATCCTTAGTACCCAGGCTCTGAGGTCATAACACTAGCAGCGGTAACTGAACATCGTTTCAAACCAGTACCATGATGACCTGTGATCCACTGCAGCTTACACTTGTGCCATGTCTCATGAGGTAGAAAAAGAAAAAAAAAAAATTGAGCTTGATCTATCCAACCCGTTGTAGACGATGCCTTTAAAGGTCATCTGATTCCTTGTCGGGCTCACAGGCACATCCTGGACAGGTCCTGGTGGGCAGCCAGGGGAAGCAAGAGGATGTGAGGCTCTGTTAAGGAGGAAACCCTGGACTCTGAATACACTGCTGAAGCAGGGGGTCCCACACCGTTAGACCTAATCATCACCTAAGTTCAGTATTTCTGGTCCATCAATATGGGATTATTTCACAATGTGATAACATATAGCAAAGGTTGAAGTCGCTAAGCAGCACCACCAGTCATGCAGACTAAAGATAGCTGGTTATCCCTTATTTTGGACAATTCACACTGCCAAAGACTGACACCAGCTAACCGGTGTCAGGTGAAGGATATGTCACCAGTGCGCTCCAGGTGGCACAGCAGTTTCTCCAGGGGGGCGAAGAGCTTGAGTGTGGGTGCAGAACCCAGCAGCAGCAGCTTGCGCTTGGCGCGTGTCACAGCCACGTTCAGGCGCCTCCAGTCCTTCAGTAGCTCCCCAGTCTGGGGGGGGGGGGGTTATGTGTCATACATATGCTGAGAGTGACGGGCCCTGGAACCCTGGGACATTCTAGTGGCTCCCACTGATGCTGAGGAACAGATACTGAAACACATATGATATGTCTGCCCCCCCAGTTACTGGGTCAGTATATTTAATAGCACCTGGCTGGGGGATCTAACACCCACTGCTGGTGAGGGGCGGAACACTCACGCGGCCCTGGGTGTTGCTCCGAACGAAGGAGACAATGATGACATTCTTGTCGCGGCCCTGGTACTTGTCCACCGTGTTGACCTCGACAGCGCTGAAGGCAGGGCTGCTCAACAGGCCTGAGATGGCAGCCAGCTGCTGCCGGTATGGGGCAATGATGCCGATGTCCTCTGCGCTGCAGCCCGCCTACAGGGATACAGTGTCACACTAACACAATACCAGCTGACCCAACCACCCTGCAGACCCCGCTTCAACAACATCAGCGGTTCTGCAGAGTTACACACCTTTAGCAGCAAGCTAACAAGGCCGTGCACCAAGATGGCTTCATTGGGGTTACTGATGCCGCCTTTAGTCGCCGTCTCGAGGGCAGGAACCTGGGGGGGGGGATTGGAAGATAATGTGGTCAGTCATTTTAGATGTGTTTTAAATAAAGCAGTGGAACTCTAATGCTGGGGGATGCTCACCTTGGCTGTGTCCAGGAAGCATACTGGCTTCTGCGGCTCCAGTGCGGCCCGGATCCAGGCGAGGTACTCAGGTCGACTCAGACTGAGTTCTAGTTCCTGCTCCACAGTGCCCCATGTCGGCAGCTCCAGCATGGCTCTGGCAGTACGCTCCGAGCCACATTCCAGCTTGCCACCGTACATCAGCATGTTGCTCAGAGACATGATACCACTGGGGGAGTGCCGGACATGTCCATCACACAGGTCCTGCCCATAAACAGGGATGCATCTCCCCGAGTGGTCCCCCACTTTCTAGGGTAAACACAGCACAGCAGGAATCCATCTCCAATGTAAACTGTATACACGTACCTGTTCATCCTGTACTGCAGGTTTAACTCAACCACGGCGTTGCTGTGCCTCTCTAAGCGCTTCAGCAGGCTCTCGTCCATCCCCAGATCTCTGCAGAGCAACAGGACATTGACCAAAGAAGCATTATAACCAAAGTACACTATGACCAAGTTGCACAGACCATACGCATGCCAAAAGCACAGTCTGACTGGGTTGCACCAACTGTACGTATAACCAAAACACAGTGCGACTTGGTCGCACCGACTACACGTGTGATGAAAACACAGCCTAACCGGGTCACACCAATCGTACATATAACCCAGTAGTAGGGCTGCACAATTAACCCTCTGGGGTCTAGGGGTAGGGAACACACTTTCATTGACTGGTGCATGGACACATATTTCATTCAATATCATAAACTTAATTCATGGCAAATAAATTTTTTCTATCAACGGTTTTCAAAATGGTGGTTGTATTGTTTCAGAGGCAGGCTATTTGTATAACTGTTTAACAAAGAAAGCATTTCCCACCCCAAAGAACCAAAAAAGTACCCCACTGGCACTTTTGGTACTAGAACTTTTGATATGGCTGTTCTGATTGCCTTAATTGAATGGCCAATTGAGCATTTTCTTTGTTGTCAGAAGTTGATATGCCGGTCTTGAATCAATCATATGTTTGGCAGTCATGTTTTGGTGTGTTTCCTTTTGCAGTTTAATGAGTGCAATCTCAGAATCGCAATCTCAGTTCTAAGCAAAAGAATCGAAATTCATATTTATTTCAGAATCGTGCAGCCCTACCCAGCAGTTCTCAATCCTGTTCTTGGTGTCCTTTGCCAGAATGTTTTCATTCCAACACACTGCTTCCAACGTGCCACATTCATTATTAGCCTATTAACCTGACTGGGGCATGATCACACATTTCTTTCAATATCATAAACTTAATTAATGGCAAATAAATTATTTCTTATATATTTGTTTTGGCATTAAACATTAAACTCATCTTTATTTTAATGTACAGTGGTACCTCATAACTCGAACTTAATCCGTTCAGAACTTGGGTTCGAATTAGACGTCGACCGATATATCGGCCGACTGATATATCGGGCAGATATTTGGCATTTTTTATGTATCGGCATCGCCCGATAGAGTGTAGTACGCCGATTTACAGACAGGCATATCTGCGGGCAGCCCCATGTTATTGTTGCCGTGGAACACGTGACCCATGCTACCTTGTGCAGGACCCCAGCCAGAAGTTTTGGAAGAGTCCTGGGAGAAAACGGTAAGGCTTAAATTCTGATCTTTCAAATACCTATTTATTTAACTGGTTCACTATAAAAATGTTGCTTTATTTTTATTGTTTATAAGTTTGTTATTGTTTACAAGTTGTATTGTATTTTTGTTATTTAAATTTATATTTAAATTTACACAAGTCATTATTCAATAAATGCTAAATTTTGTGTATTGTTTGTTATTATTAGTGTGATATTTTACCATGCAAATAGAGGGGAAAACATCCAATTATCGGCCAAAAAAAATCAGCAGCATATATCGGCCATCGGCTGACCCTGACTCCTAAATATCGGCATCAACTATTGAAAAACCCATATCGGTCGACCTCTAGTTTGAATCCTAAAAAGTTTGAGTTCTGATCTGATTTTCCCCATAAGAAATAATGGAAAACCAATTAATTGGTTCCTGGCTCCAAAAAGTTACACTTAAATGTTTTTTTAGCATTTAAACACAAAATGAAAAGGATAAAACAAGAAGAGCATATACTAAACACATATAAGCACATTTATCAAAACAGTAATTGTGTCACACCGCGCGCAGGATGAGCGAGCAGGGAGCGCGAAATCCAAGAACAGGGTTTATTGCTGGCAAACAAAGCACAACACGCAGTAGACTTCAATGACAGAACTGGGGAAACATATTTGAACGCGGACTTAAATACACATGACTAACTGGAAATAACGAGAAACAGCTGATGACATCGGGATATCACACAAGGTTAACGAGGGGGGCGTGGCACACAGGAGGACCATACGAGGTGTGCGTGACAAATCTGTAAAGAAAATAAATGTATCCAAATGATGTGCAATGGCTACCAAAATGATATAAATACAGTGTATTACCTGATATTTTCAATAAAAAAGCACTATCACCAACAAACGATGCTATCACAGCGAATGCGAGGCTGAGACTGAACAGTTACCCTTTGTTCCCGCTGAGAGACGTGTCGCGTGACTTATTTCCCTGCATGTACAAGTCATCTTAGGTCGGTGTTCACAGTTCGACTTTTGATGCCTTGTCCACACGTACACAGGTATATCTTAAAACGTACCTTTTTCTATATGTCTTGGGCTTTTGTCCACACGTAAAACGGCGTCTCAGGTCACTGAAAATGGAGCTTTTGCAAAACTCCATCCAGGGTGAAGATTTTAAGAAACTCCGTTTTCAGCATCGACATGTACACAGGGAAAACGGAGTTTTTGGCTCGAAATGTCAGATTGTGCACCGTTGTTCACTTTAACGTCAGAGCGTGCGCTGTTTACTGTATACATTAGGCGAGTTTGAGCAATGGCGGACTTAGCCGAAATAGTGCTTGTGCTAAGCTTGCATATAATGCCGCTTGTTGTTTTGGCATGCTTTTGACAGTGCATTTTAGCGGTTTCATGTGGACGGATATTTTTTAGAAGACAATGTTCGTGTAATTTTTTTTTTTTAAATGGAGGAAAAACACCATTTTAAAATATACCCGTGTACGTGTGGACAAGGTATGAGATTCAGATTGAGTTCTGGGTCATTTTTTTTCAAACTGGTTGATTCTTTTGACATCAAAGTATAGACATTGCAAAATGCAGTTTGAAACAC